TCTTAGCAATATTAATTTCACTGTCATAAACTCCGGTACCGACTTAGACTGATATCGTTTTATTTGTTCGGCAACTCGACATTGGGTGGAGACGTTCTGTAATCAAATAAAATAAACCTACCCACTTTTTAAGATTCCTCATTCTTCATCAAATGTTTCTAATTATTTTGACAGTCGAGGGTAACCGGTTAGCAGTCTTTACAAATGACCGCAAAATTGATAACATTGAGGACGAATAATTTATCAACATTTATAAGCAATAAAAATAAAAAACAGTACGGCTCATAAAAATAGAAGTGAAGTGAGGTTATGGACTAAAGAAAGAGCAGACTTGGTCACAATGTAGATATCACTACTTTGATAAGCTGATTTTTTGGGTATGGAACGGCCCTTTTTTCACGGTTAAGTTTTTATTGGAGATATTATTCCTTTTTGCTGGCTTCAGCATCGTGGCACTCGCTATTTTTGTTATACTTAAACGATTAAATTATTCTGTATTCGATGCCCGATTAAATAAGATTTATTAGAACTACCCTCACTAAAGCAGCACTAATTTTGAGAAAATTGCACTATAAGACCTACCTTTGAACAAAATTTCACGTTTCTACCTATACAGGAAGTGCTGTAAAATTTGATGATCCGTGTGTCAGTAACAAAAGTGCATACTTTGAAGTTCTCCTCTTTTTAAAAGGCTTAATATTAAGGGCTCGATTTTTTACAGTGTCCTAAGCTCCTTAAGCTCAGTATATCTATGTTTCAAGTTTTAAAAGTCTATCATTAGAAGAAGCAGAGATATGAGAGTTAGAAAAACCAGGTGAATTGGTTCGTATAAAGATATATTGGCATTGCTGGAACTTGGCCTGTGCGTTTAGATAATGTGCTACATCAACGATTCTAGGTTATTGTCCCTTGAGACTGAATGACCGGGCAAACTTTAAACATTTTCAAAAAATACGTCGCCGGACAAAAAGAACGAGTTGAATGACGTGCCAAAGTTGTCACATTAATTATTAACAAGTTTAATTTAATTTGTCTTAACTACCATAAGACGTATTATTAAAAACTCATAGATCATTGTAAATTTAACCAAAAAATGAGTAAACCACATAATTCATAAATCAATACATATATTTTATGCATACATTTCTAGTACCAAATGTTGATAATGTAACTTTTTTCCTTAACCCTAACTATTGGTTAATTGTTAATACTGGCCTACTGTGAGCAAGCTTGAATTCATGCCCAATAGTCCAGTTAATACCATTCATTGAAGTTAAGTAGATCAGGTTGTTGAGAGTGCACCTCCTAAAATTGAAGCAACAGACCAAGAAATGCAAGAACCTATATCACCAAAATGGAAAGGATTTAGGATAGGTTTCAAAATTTCAAATGTTTTAACACACAGTATGTATTTTTAATAAGGACAGTGTCCGTCAAGGCCGTTCGTTGCTGTGGTTTGTAGAATGAGGTTTTTGTAACGTCTGAATAGGTGACATATAGCATACTATGGTAATGTTGGACTACAAACTCTGTAGTATTACTCATCGTAGCGTATACGCGCCTTCACGGCCACGACTGCCTACGTCATCAATAGCGTTCATTCATAATATTTATATTGTTCTTACTCTTATTGTGTGTATGGATTTTGGTGTGGCCTGTATACATAATATACCTACACAGAAGGACCAAAAACACTTTAGTACTAACGTCTGACACAAAAGAGTAGGGATGCCGACGCAATACACACATACAATCATAAAGTATATTTTGCCGGTGTTAACATAACGAGTAGTTCCGCTTGTTACTATTATTATTTATTTTATAAGACACAGATGCAATGACCAAAATAATACTTGTGGTCTGTTTAGCGATTATAGACCACATGAATCGTCATCTTAAATACACCCAATCATTATTTGAGTGACGGTTTTTGCGATTTGTCTATACTCTATCCTAGAATAACCTAATTCTTAACATAGGCCTACTACAATGTGAAATAAAACAAAAAAATTGTGTCTATAAACTAGAGCTGGACCAATGTAATATTTCTCAAAATGAGCAAAATTTTGATGTGTTAACGCAAAAACATTAGTGTTATAAATACCCAAGCTTAAACATTTGTTTTTAAGTATTTGCGTTTCAGTTTTCACATTTTGTTTGTAAACAGCGGTAAAGTAGTTAGCGATCAATACACTTAACAAATTCTCTTAACACATAAAATTATATATTTTAATATAGCTCGAAAGCAATTTAGAAAATTATGTCGCATGTTTCACCTTGATCAATTTAATTGTGATAAAACGCTGCGTTGCATCTTTTTGACGTGATTAGTATTCAAAATTAATCCATTCACGCTTATTAAAGTTTACTTGGATAATAATTTTATTTATTACAATAAGATGAAGTAAGAATGAAAAAAAAAAGGCGAGAGAGACAAGAGTCAAGACTGATGATATTTTTTTAAAATATATATTATTCAAGTCGTTTGTCGTAAGACTAACGTGTAAAAAATCTAATAGAAACTTCAAATGGCAACAGATCTCGTTTGTACCGATTATGGGTTTAATTCGAGAGCGCCGCATGAGTCATGCTCAACACGGCGCCGGCAAAAAAGTGGAAGTCCGCATCCGGTTTATCAATGGACATGGACCATACGGCGTGTTATGCGTGTACATAAGGTTAGATGCAATATGTCTATACAACAGAGAACGTATAATTATAATAACTCGGGCACGCGTACAAAATTCTCAGTTCTCACGCCGTCGCCAATGACTAACAGTATAAGAATTTGGCGGGAAGACGAATACAACTGTGAATACCTACATAATATAATATATACACTGTATATTTATAACTAGTGGAATTCGACAATTTAGAAGGATTTTTCAGGTCTAGGCGTACACCTGACATATTGATTTTTGTCCCGGCGCATTCCTACACAACAACGGTGGTCCATATGTCCGATAAATAATCATTACTTGATGTTATCACTTCTACAGTATTTAAAATATTCACGCTAAACCTCTGCGATCAATTAATATGTACTAACGGTTACCGGTTTATGTGATACGATGAACTTGACTCTTGAATGCACCTTAACCAACAGACAAAAATAATTAAATTATATTACTTAAGTGAATAAGCAAACGCATGTAAAATCCGGTTAACAGATTTACATGGGTAATGAATTTTGGCGCCAACGTGAAGAGTATAAAATCATAAATCGTAATCACCAACAAATAGCAATAGTATAAATTATAAAATACAACATTTATCTATCACGCGTCAAATCGTATAACATTTGGCTTTAGCATCTCGAATTTTATGGAATATAATTTTTTTAACAGAACAAATAAAACAACATATTTTAATTGAGAATAAAAAAAACATAACTTTATGTTCAGCTAGCCGCTCTGAAATTAACAAAATAGCGAGTTTTTCTATTTTCGACAAAGAAACATAATATGGACTAACTCCCTTCTTAGGATTCGAAAGAAAAATTTCCAAGGAATCGTAGTTTCCTCTTTGAAGAAACGAAACGTAAATAGCCATACCACTGGATTTTTATGGATATACTTTTGTTGAATAATAAAATAGAATAATTGTTTTTCAAATACTGATGAAGTAAGGACTTTTTGAAAGTAAGAAGCAAATATAAAATGGCCAACACACAAAATAACGACTTGGTTTTTGTCCTTTACCTCGTGGAATGTAATAATAAAAATAATTGCACAACTGGCCTTTAAATGTATTATTGGCTTAAAAGAAACTAAATTGAAAAATATTGTAGTAACAACCAAAAGTTTAGAGTTTTGTTGCCACGAGCATGTTAAAAAATGTCAAACATCAAGTAATCATTTAAAAATAAAATTGGTGATAAAAATATCCATGAGCTGGCTCCAAAAGAAATCAAATACGTACGTAATTGGTTTATCTACTTTGTTTGTGATTTTCATAGATTATAATATAAATATGTAGATATTAGGCCATCATCTATATAATATGTATAATGTATTTCAAGTTTCTAATCATTACATCAAGAATCCTTTTGAATATTGCCTTCTGTTCATGTTCGTAAATAAAATAATATCCTCTCACTCAATTTAGTCAAAACAATTCTATTAATTTTGTATAATTCTATTTTTTTTAGTTTTTACTGTCCCTAAGTTTGGTTTGACAACTCTTGATCTAGCAAGATTATTTTGGACTTGGCCTTTTGCCAACGAATGCCTTTTGGAACGATATAAAATATTGTTCCTAAAACAAAATGTTTATATCGTTACAAAAGTTATAATTTAATTTTAAATTGTTTTTAAAGGGTCCTTCCACTGACTCTTTGGAGTCTTTTATCACTGGATAGCTTCCCTACTCAAAGTCTCCAAGTCATTTATTTACATTGTTAACATATTTGCTTATTATATATTTGTCTTTATGTACAGATTGTAAATATTATTTTTAATTAATAAAAAATAAAAGTAAAAAAGTTTTTTTATACAAATTCAAAATGCCATCAATAGTTTTAATAAATATTGCTATAGGTAGTTATAACAAAAATTTAAATTTTGGTTTGGTAACGTTTTCAATCTCTAAATAAATTTAGCAAATTGTTCGTATTAAATTATCTATGTGAGTATTAAACTGTTGAATTTGTTCAAATAGTGTATTTTGTTACTAAATATTGAATATTTATCAAACAAAATCGATTTTACTTAAAGCATTAAAAAGTTAAATGTCTTTTCTTATTTATAAAATGTGTTGAGTATTGCTTAAAAATTATATACTATAATATTAATATGTAATAATAAAATATAAAAGGGAAAAATTTAATTTCAATTTGTGGCGGGTAATAATATAATAATTTGTGTACGCATAACCTTAAAAATGCTTCTTATCGCCTGTCTCTCTCAGACTAATGTAATCTATATATCTTTCTCTCTTCCCCCACTTTGTTATTTCCCTCTATTGTATTTTCATCACAAGAGGAATAATAATTAGTATATAGTTTTATGTAGTGACTAGTGTTCGCTGTTATTAAAGTTTTAGCGATTATTCTGTATATCGGTATTCAGCATAATTTGATAACGCCGATTAAGAAAATATTGGTCTCAAACTTGAATCTTATAGGAAATATTTAGGCTTAGAAGGTTAATAAATTGTCATTATCATGGAACATTATTCACATCTTGATATGGGTATACTTAATTTATATAATCAAGGTGGATCCATGGATTTTAATGTTGATACCCATTAGGTACCTATACTTGATAGTGGCTACTGTCTAGCAACTATAATGTTTATGATGCGGGATGCTAGCTTATCATTATAATTTATAGGTCTAACCAGCAAGCGTATTTATATAAGTTTCGAACGCTCGAGATTAACAATTATTTTATTATTATCAACTAGATAATAATATTACGAATTTATAATTACTAGAATGAGCTAAGATAAACTTTTTTTTTTATATATATATATTTTGTGAGTACCTATTAAGTATATATTTATTACCTACGGTTAAGTGCTAACATTTGCAATAATGTCGTCAAAGTCGTTGAACATAATATGATATTGCAAGGCTTAATATAATAATAAACAATTGGATATTCGTCATGGTAATAGCTGCACGTTGCTTTATTAATTTCAATACCTTAACACGTTTTATTTTTATTTTTCAGTCATCAAGCTGTTAATTGTAAAATAAAATCAGTGATGACATTCTTGTACTTTGCTTATGGTAGTAATTTGCTAGCTCAACGTATTCATCTAAACAATCCTTCGGCAAAAAGAATAGGGATTGGTAAATTAAACGTAAGTACCTTAAAGTGCCAGTTAAATTGTTTGGGAAAAACTCTTATTATTAATTTGTTTTTAGGGATATCGTTTGGATTTTAACGGTCCAGTATCAACATTTTGGAAAGGTTGTCCCTCAACCATTGTGCCTGATGAGGATTATGTTTGGGGTGCTGTGTGGCAAATGAATATTAGTGATCTCGAAAACTTAGATAAACAGGAAGGAGTTTCCCAAAAATTATACTTGCCATTTGAAGCCAATGTTACTGTACCTAACGTCCAGACTTTAATATGTCGTTCTTATATGCTAGCAAATCAACCAGAGAAACAACCCGTATTACCACTGGAAAGGCGACCATCTATAGCATATCTTGAAACAATTTTATTAGGTGCTGAAGAAAGTGGTTTGCCACTAGACTATGTTAATAATTTGAAGCTAATACCACACAACAATGTCAGTGGTCCTAAGATGCCATGGTCTAAACATCATAATGACATTGAACTGTGATTTGATTTTCAAAAACTTAAAATTAGTTTTACAAAATTACATGATCCAGACAATAAATAAATTTGTACAATATGTTATTTTGGTGAAAAATATATAATAAATTCATGATTGTTTAAGATGCCAAAGATTTATTTTTATATACTAGAGTTATACAGGTTCATTGCCACAGCAGACACGTTTAGATTAAACTAAAACGGACTGCGGTATCTGCTGGTGCTGAACCTGTTATGTTTACCTATCAAAATAAGTTGCAGTAATTTTTTTTTTTTTAACTTTATTTTTAAAAACAAACAATCTGTAATTTATTTATTACAATAAGCATGTATGCTTATAAGTATGTTTTTTTTACATGAAACGCATGAGAAAAGTAGCCACCCATTGGCGACACTTAACATAGGGCTTTGGTTAATTATAATTTGCATTTAATTTTAATTTAAGTCCTGACACCATTTTCTCTTTAACCTACTAGGAGGATTACCAGGAATAGCGTCAGAATTTAGCGCTGAAATTAAGGGATTTGGATGGTTTGTTAGTCGTGAGCAGAATCATTTGTGTAGTTTTTTGCGGTTTCATCTACTGTGTCTATTACAGTCATTTAGATATCAAAAATGACAGGAGTAAATAATCATTCTAGAGCTTAATAATAACTATAAGAGAAGGCAAAAATATTTATTTAGTATTTTAATAATAAATTTTGTTTATATTGATACCAATAAAGTAAATAAATACAAAAATATGTGAATCTTGTATTTTATATAATTTTTACTCTTAAAATTAAGATATAAATATCATTGATAATAGTGATATTTAAACTAGACAATTTAATATAAATTCATTTGATACTTTTTCTTATTACATACAACATGTAAAATTATAAGGTATGAGATATTTATAATATATATGTATGATATTTTCTTTAGGAATTAACTAATATATTCTTTTTTTAATTAGCTACTCAGATTGATAGTTCATATTTATTGTTATACTTCCGCATTAAATTTATTATTATACGTTTTAATAAATTGAAAGCAAAATTAATGAAGTATGCAATTACTAAGCAACCTACTTTTAAATATTATTTTAGAAACAAAATATTATTTTATCTACCTACTAACATGTTGTGTTATGTTCTGTTGATATATTACTTGTAAGTTGTAAACTATTAATAAAGTACTTATTAAATAAATATGGTTAGAAAATAACTAAATCTTAATAGTTCCTATGTCAATTTTTTTTTTTAATTCCAGAAATTTGAGACAAATTTAACAATGTATTGTTTGTATGTACTAGTAACTACCTTATACATTATCATATTTAAACGCTATACCACAATTTCGTAGATTATAAATTGTTATGGAGAATTGCGGTAATAAATTATTCAAAAAAGATTCCTGTATTGAAGCATTATACCGTAAATTCAAAGGCGTTTGCAAGCGTCCTTGTTACCACACGGTTTGTCAAAGACCTACAATAAACAGAAGTCTTTTGTCTCGCAATGATTACTTGAATATCCTTTCGACACCCAGAGGATATGTCTGGACCGGATTGGCTTCATATTCAAATGATGTAGCAAACAATGTCAGTACGAGAAAAGTTGATATCTCGTCTAAACAACAGAAACGGTGAGATATAAAACTCTAAATCTCATATATATATGTATTAGTTCAACTTAAATTTTTTTCAGAAAGGGCTATAGTTTATGAAATTTGAATTCAAATTATGGTTTAAATGCAGAAACCTTAAAGATTAACTAAAATATTTTCAACTTATTTAGATATCGTAATGATAATTTTTTACAACAAAAAAACTGATGATTTTAAATATTTTTTATATGTGTTTGATTAATTAAACTTAAGACTTAATTATTCTACCTTTATTACACAAAAAAATTTGAAAAAGCTAATAATTAATCACCAGTATTATACATATCGTTTAAATATTTTGAGGAGTTGGTCAGTAATTAAAAATGTTGCGAAATTAAGATGTTTAATCATCCAATGCTAATTTAGTAGCGCAATTAGGATACAAATAAATAATAATTATATAGGTACCCATATCTATACCACATATTTATCTATTTACACTATACAAATAGGTAGTTGTGTAATTTAAACTTTATACTCGATACATATTCTTATAAAATTATGTCAATTACTTAAATGGTTTTTTTTTCATAGAGGTCCTCTAAAAGAAAATATAGTGGTATCTACCAAGGAGCATCAAGCAACGATAACTCAAGCACTAAAACCCGGTAAACTTAATGCAGCAGATAAAAAAATGTGGGAACGTCTCTTTAAAAAAGAATTGGCCGAATCTCCAGAATTTGCTAAAGAATATCAAATGATGCAGAATAATTTGCAAAAAAATGGAAAACTCAATCATGTAGACAAAAAAAAATGGGAAGAGCTTTTTAAAAAGAAATTAGACGATCCAGAGTCTGCTAAAGAATACCAATTAATGACAAATCATAAACAAAAATCAATAGTAGCACAGCGTATGCAAAAGTTTGGCATGCATAGTAGTTTGGAACCAAATAAACGAGGGCCTATATTAAAAAAAGATAAACAACTATCTGAATATCCAGAGTTTGTTAAAGGATACCAGAAAAAATTATCTCTATTGTTAAAATCTGGTAAACTTAATGCTGCAGATCAAAAGATGTTGGAACACCTTTTTGAAAAAGAACTGGCCGGATCTCCAGAATTTTCTAAAGAATACCAAAGGATGGTAAATAATTTGCAAAAGTACGGCAAACTTAGTCCTGCGGATCAAAAAAAATGGGAAAAGCATTTAGAAAAGAAGCTAGACAACTCTTCAGAGTTTGTTAAAGAATATCAATCAATGGCAAATCATATGCAAAAATATGGTAAACTGAGTCCTGCTGATGAAAAAATATGGGGACATATTTTTAAAGATGATTCTACTGATAGTGGAATTGGAAAAAAAGGACTAAACCAAGGTAGTCGGCGACCAACTAACGAAAGCAAAATCAAAAAACGTTTACTTTCTTCTTCGCTACCCGGGGATAAAAAAAAGTTTAAAAAGGACAAACAAATAAAATTAAGTAAGATTTACCACAGTTATCTTAATTATAAAATTAAGTTTAAAAAATATATATATTTTTAGGAATCTGTGTATATGGGGCAGGGATTGGGAACTAATTCCGGAACAAGTTCCTTCATGACTCCCTATTGTAATGGTTCCGGAACAAATACCCGGAACTCGTTCCTCAAGATATTTGTTCCGGAACAAATAAAATGTAATTGTTCCTTGTTATTATTAATAATTTATTGATGGAGCAAAATGTGTTTGTTCTACGTATTATGTTATTTCGTTCGAGTTTATTAAGGGGGCACATTTTTTTTTTGTTACTTTAGCTTTTGTATGTGGTATTTTAGAAACAATGGACATATTTATTTAAGTTAATTGTCAATTTATTCGCTAAAAGATTATAGTTAATGTTAATGCATTTGATACAACAATTAATGTTATTTTCAGTATACATAAATGTATATAATATATATGGTGAAAATTAACAGAGTTATTATAATACATTTATACTTACTAAGAGCAATGTATGCAACTAATTCATTAAAACCATCTGTCCTTTAACGATGAATTTAACTTGCAAAGTTAAAAACACTTAATTTATATTAATTTAATATTTTTTTAGATATATACGGGCTATAATATATGGCTAATTTCCAGTGTAATTTTTTTACACAGCATATATTACTCTTAGGATAAAACTATAAGCTAGTTAAAAATACCTAATAAATAAAAGAAAATATTCAATAAGGATTGAATGGTGAATGTATAAGTAATAACTGGAGTCATTAATAAAATAATTTAACTACTGTCATAATCTATAAACAGTAAGTTGTAAAAATTTGCATAATAATAACATAATAGATTCGACTTTTTTTTAAATAAAAGTTTTAAGCAATATTATTAGGTATATTACTTACTTTAATGGATGTGTTGCAACCTGATATAGTACATGTTGAAGATAACAATATAACAAGGTAACAATATTTTCATAGTACCGTTCAAAAGAAAAATTGTTCGTTTTTTTTGGCCCAGTTTAGTATACATGAAACAAAAAATAATAATTACAATTTACAGCAAGCATATAATTCAATACATAAAATAAATCATGTAGGGCTATACATACTACTCCAATAAATGATTAAACAGCAATTTTACTAATACTGATTGCGTAGGCCGGCCGTAGGTAAATATAAAAAACGGGTAAAAATTTAATGTATAAAGATATAAATTTAACTAAAACCCATATTAACATTAATTCTACATTATCATTAAATAACGTGTTTCTTTTAAGTACCTATACAAATTTATTCGTTAATTAGTTAATACTTGAAATGTTTTGTTTTCATAAAACTTGTAAATTATTTCGTTATTGGGGTTTAAAATGTAACACAACTTACCTATTGTAATACTTAATACTAATATTATACATGTTGATACCTACAATTTAAGGAGCAAAATCCATTCAAAATTTGGAAAATGAAAATATACAAAAGGAAGACTTGTTAAAAAAAAGAACTGAAGCGATACTGAATGTCAAGAAAGAAACGTTTTTAAAATCGGAAAAAAAAAGAAAGAAGGAAGAAGAGAAACTTAGAAAATTGAAAGCTCGTGAAGAGATCATTAAAAAAAATGCTGAAAAGGTGATGCAAAGTGAAGAACGTAAAAGACTCAGAGAAGAAGAATTAAAAAATCGTCGAAGAGATGATAAAAAAAATGAAGATGCTAAAAGAACAGAAATTATGAGAATAAAAGAACACGAGGAAAGAGTAAAGTTGAAAGAAACGAATGAAAAAATCCGTAAACTCGAAGATCTTGAGAAAGAAGCCAAAAGAATACTTCAAGAAGAACAACAATGGAGAGAAAAAATTAATAGAGAATTTGCAATGAAAATGAGATACACCAACGATCCAAACAATTGCATTTTAGCCATTATACCGAATTTAGTAAATAACGAAGACGACTATAAAATTGGTAAGAAAGGAAAAGACAGATTCATTCAGTACACAAAACGGCAGTTAGAAAAAATTAAAAAAAGGGACAAAATTTTCGACTATGGTAATTTGATGAAGGAAATTATTCAACGAGAACTAGGCAATACGCAAAACAACCACGTTAGTACAAAAAATAAATACCTTAAAAATGTTTTAAAAAACTCTCAATTCAAAAATTAAAAATCGTCTTAATTAGTTAAAGCTTTAATGCGTATTTTTGCAATGTTTTTATTTTTTTGTTGACTCGATATCTTTTAAACCACTGAACTAATTTTTTCATGTACGAGTACATGTATGAGTCTATGCATCAGAAATCATACCTAAAAGGTACTTTTTTGAGCCAAAAATTTAAAAAAATTACCTCTTCCCCTTCAAAAATATAAACTACAAAATACCAATTATTTTAAGAAAAAACTAGTGTAGGGCGTTAAAATAATCACCCAATATAATTATTTTCTTGTGTTGAGTAGCAAACCGAAAAAAGGCCCCCTACCGGGATTTGCCCAGTATCCCGGTGGGCCTATCCACGGCTATCGAACGATTGAGAACGGCATTTTTAGTGTTACTATTGAGAACGCTCGATAGATTTAATTTTTTTCCAACGTTGCCATTTTTTACAAATACTTTTTTTATGATTTTAACACAATTACAATTAAGCTTAATTAATACAAATACAGCTTTAACAATTGCATTTACTCAGTGTCTCATTTTTTTTTTATTATTATATTTAGAAATAAACTTGTGGCTATGATAAGAATATTTGTATTATGCATTTTATTTATATACATTAATAATTGTTAATGCCCAACAAAAAAAAAACATGCTGAGTCATACTTATTAAATTTTAGTATAATTATTATAACTTAATATTTTAATATTTAAATACAATATGCTAAATTGTTCGATAGCCAAATAAATAATATAGTAACGTTGCACGTAAATTCGTTCTCAATCGTATTGGTTTTGTGAGTCAGCGGTAAGTTCTTTGTGAGTTTAAAGTGTTCTCAATCGTTCAGCCAAAAAGGTAAAACGTTCTCAATTGTATTTTACCGCTACCCACTTATGTTTGTATCGATTACTATTTACTAATAATAGTGCATTAAAACACCAAATGAAAAATATTTAAATACTTGAACTAAATCCAAGTAGTTTTAAATATTTGTCTATACTGTATATTATTCATTAATATTAAATAACAAAAATATATATATATTTTGTTTTTGTTTAGCCAAAGCTCTACGAAAATGAAAAACTATGTAATAATCAATCGTTAGATCCGTACAGAAAAACTGCAATGATAGATAACACAACTAGTCGATGGATACAAAATAAAAATGTAGTGTTTAAGAGTTGCTGTCCATTAAATAATTTAGCAGACTTCAATGAATTGTACATTCAAAATGGATTGGTCTCTCATAAGCATTGTAGCCTGTAGGCCCAACTTACATAAAAATTCAAGCCAAAACAAAGTATCGAAAATAAGCCGTTACAGTGACACTTTGATTAACACGTTGGAAGAAGGACGTTGCCAAAATGATTTCAAATATGGAGGCACACAGACACACATTTGTACAACGTGCTAAAGCCCACTGCAGTACTCACTGGGATAAAACAACTCTAAAATAAATAAAATACAAAACATTGGTTAAAAACACGAAACCCAGTTTTTTCTTTTTAATCTATTAATGAACTATGAAGTCATTATAAGATCTATCTTTAATATTGATCACATAATTTTCAACAGTGCAGTCGCCAGCCACTAGACAATTTCAATAGAGTTCATATCATTTTTTAATTGTAAACATACAAAATTTGTCCACCAATATTGAAGACAATACATATAAAAATCAACAAGCTAAGTCTATACTTTTAAAAAGGTTTAACATATTTCGGTGGGTTGATTTTTCATTACAATTAATTATCAACTATTTTCAATGGCAAATAATTTGTAATATACTTTATTATACTCAGAACTATCTGTTGAGATTCCAAAACGAATAGAATACAAGTTGATTTTATAAAAGGGGACATATTATGTATATTTTTAATAGGGTTTTAACAGGAGAAACAAACAATTACAAAACTATGTAAATAAAACAAAAAGATGATTATGAATCTCGAATGGAAAGATTATAGTAAATTGTTAAAACAATTGTTTTGTCTCTCACAAAATTATAATAGCATACATAGGTTCCATTGAACAAAAAGCAATTTTAATGTTCAACAATTAAGTATTTATAAAAGCGGCAAAAATTGTCTAATATTATGACTGCAAGAGTAAAAATCTGATATAATAACAATTTCAAAACATATAATTAAAATTAAATAAATGATTATAGAATCATACACTAGTTACATTTTGTATGCTCTTTTTTAATTTCAATGTCAGATTTCTTTTTTGGCGTGAATTTTCTATCAGTTTTTATATAAAAATAAACATCATCGTCTTCATACAATTGCAATGTTGTATTAATTATATTCCACGATGAAGTATACTCCTGAATAATATCTTGTTGTAATGCTCTTTTCAGTGCATCTTCTTTAGTTAACAATACCGCTTCTTTTTTAGGAATTTTTAATACACATTTAACAGCATTATTAACCTAAAATTAAATTATGAATTATTAATATCTTTACAATTTTATACAATAACATTAAAGTAAGAATCTTATTGTAAGATTTAATACACTCATAGAATTCAAAAGAATATCATTACAATAATTATAAAAGTAATTCTTATTATTTATGTTGACAGTTACACTTTTCTTTTTTAATAAGATTCCATCACTTTCTAATGAATTTTAATACCTTTAAAACTTTACCCCACCGTGAAATATTTTCTATTATTATTTTTTTATTTCTTACCAGACAATAAAATTTGAGTTCAAAATTATCATCCACCTGGGGCCAACTTTGATTGACCACGTCTTCATCCCATTTGATTTGTTCCCAGTTTGAGTTTATACGGCCTGGTGCAGTTATAAAACCACTCCACAAAGCTGACGCAAAGTGAGGTGCCAACGGAGCTAACATTATTATCTGTACAGCTAATAGACGTTCATATTCACCACTATACTTGACCATTTCTTTGGGAGACTTCTGTAAATTAAAAAAACATGTACATCATTTTGTTGGTAAGCAATGAATTTAAATACGAGGACAATATAAGAATTGTATTACAGTAGAATAAGGAGAGCATAATTTTACTGCTAAATATATGTTTATTTTTTTTATGAATTTTTTGTCTATTCGGCAGAATTTTGGATTACAACATTAGGTTTCTGTCATTTTATGGGGAAGGAGGACAGTAGACTTTCTCTTTAGTCAGTCACCTGCCCATAGAGGGATGTCATGTATAGTCGAGTGTCAAACCAGCAGTGAATCAGTGGACGCTAACACACTGTTACATTACTTACTCAGCCTGTAGTCCTTCGTCCTAACAAATATGATTTTTTATTAGTTATTAATATTAATATTTACTTTCAATAGTTATTATTGTTTTTAAATAAAAAAATTATATTGTCTTCCTACAATTCAGTAGAATATATTTTATTAAAATGATACCACATAAGATTTTTTTTTTCTCGGTCTTCAATCTCTAGATTGGTTGGCCGCAGCTCTCCAAGCTTCTCTGTTAAAACTCAGCTCCTTTAGATCTCGATAACTACCTATTTCCATGTCCTTCATAATCTGTGAAATGTATTCCATTCTTGGTCTTCCTCTTCCAGTTTTACCATCTACATATCCTTCAATAATCAGCTTCAGTAAACTATCGTGACGCAGTGTATGCCCTATCATATTATCTCTTCTTTTAGTTATAATTTTCCAAATTTGTCTTTTTTCTTTAATTCTTCCCAGAACTTCTTCATTAGTTACTCTGTCGCTCCATATAATTTTGAGCATCTTCCGGTAACACCACATTTCAAAAGCTTCTAATTTTTTCTTCTCAGTTGCGCTTACTGTCCAGGTCTCGCATCCGTATAGTGTTACACTCCATACGTATATTTTTAGAAAATTTTTCCTTGTGTCTAGCCCCACACTGTTTGTCGTTAGTAAGTGGTTTTTGTTTTGAAATGCTCTTTTTCCTTGTGCAATCCTATTTATTATGTCTAACTTGCTTTTACCGTCGTCGTTTATTTTACTGCCAAGATAGCAGTAGCTTTGCACTTGTTCAATCGGTTCACCTTTAATGTTTATGTTAAGCCGTTTTCTATTTAATTTGCTACATGACATAACTTTGGTCTTATTTTTGTTTAATTTCATTCCGTAATTTCCTAAGATATCTTCCGTTTTCTCAAGTAATAATTGCAAGTCTTCTTCTTTTTCAGTGCAAAACGCTATATCATCTGCAAATCGAAGTGCTATTACTTTTTGTCCACCTACTCTGACTCCTACTTGTATTTCCTCTTTTATTTCTTTTATAGCTTCTTCAATATACATATTAAACAAAATTGGGGACAGAATGCATCCTTGCCTTACTCCCTTACCAATTCTTGCTATTTCTTCTATTCCATCTTGTTGTATCACTTGGTTCTTGTATAGGTTGTATATAACTCTACGATCATTATAAGTTATTCCTAGTCTTTTTAATATATCAAACATTTTGTCCCAATTTACATTGTCAAAAGCCTTTTCAAGGTCGACAAAAGCTATTACAACATCTTTATTTACTCGTATTTGTTTTTCTATTAAGATTCTCAATGATAGAATTGCTTCTCTAGTACCTACATCTTTTCTAAAACCAAACTGGTCATTCCCTAGATTTGAGTCTATTTTACTCTCTATTCGTGTCTTTATTATTCTACATAATATCTTAGAAGCGTGAGATGTAAGATTTATTGTTCTGTGTTCTTCGCATTTCATCGTTCCTCTCTTTTTTGGTAACGTTACGACTAATCCGTGTTTTAAGTCGTTTATCATCACCCCTCTTTGATATATTTCATTACATATCTCATAAAACTTAGTCTTCATAACTTGTCCTCCATTTTTTATTAATTCTACTGGTATTTCATCTATTCCACTTGCTTTATTGTTTTTAGTATATTCCAGCGCTGCATCGAATTCTGACTGAAGAATATACTCACCTTTATCGTCCTTTTCTAAGGTTTCTTCCTTTTCTAACACGCTTTCATTTAGATACCACATAAGATACTTATTATAATAGATAAGATTTTTTAATTATGTTTCAACTCGGATTATTTAAAAACAAATTATTAGTAGACCTAATATATATATATATATATATATATAAAGCTGGAGGAGCTAAAGCATGTTCCATGCTAATATATATATATTAGCATGGAACATGCTTTAGCTCCTCCAGCCCGAAAACGACACTAATTAGCGATACTTAAGTATCGCGCCTACTTTAAACGTATAATAACATATAAGATGTCATCGAAATAATAACGAGTCGTCATCATCATGCAAACGTTTGGGCAGAACATATAATTAAGACTATACCATCATCATAAATCGCAAGGAGATTATAAATCAGAAAAATTACAATTCAGAAGCCAGCAGGCTAAAACATGTTTCATGTTTTATAATTTTAGCCGTTAGGCTTTAAGTAGACTTTATATTTGTTTTTTTAATCTAAATATATTAGACTCAAAAAATGTTTAATTAAGAAAAATACAAGACAAGAAAATAAAAAAGTTAATAACTCATTTACTCAATGGGCTTTGATGCGAAGTTGAAATGGTGTGATCAAGTTTAAATAATTATCTGTGTGTTACTTTACTATAATACATACCTTTAGGACATTTGATAGTCCTTGTAAATATGAAATAGCGACACTTAGTTGATACGATGTTCTATAATTTTTTGATGTTTTTTTAACATAATAATTACGTGCCTCACATAGTTTCATTTGTTCGTCATGGAATTTTGAAAAATCAATAGAATCTTGTTGAAGACTACTAGTCCTTATGTGTCGAAACTGTTGTATGATTGACCATAGTTTTTGTTGCCAATTTAAAATACCAGGAAAAGCTAATAATACAAATTAATAATATTATCAAACTAATATAAAATTAATTGAACTTATAAATACTAACTGTCCGAGTTCCAATTTCTATTCGAAGTAGGAGCCACGCTCGATAGGATCAAAAGCCGCATAGTATCTACACCATATTCGTCTAAAGTGCTCGACGGTTCCACTCCATTATGTTTAGATTTGCTCATCTTTTCCCAAACTGTAGTCACCGGATGGTCACCGTTTATAGTGAAATACCTTTTGCCTTTTTTTACGACTTGGTCTTGTTTTAAGTACAAACCACTAATCTTATCTTTGAAACTCTGTCCCATTACCATTCCTTGAACTAACAAATTTTTAAATGGTTCTGGTTCAGGCACAAGGCCAATAGAATGCAGAAAATAATTGAAAAATCTTGCATAGTACAAATGCAACACGGCTGAAAAAAATGTTATTGGTAATTAATAATTAAATTACAAAACAAAAGACTCTTCATTTTTGTTAATTCACCATGTTCTTTGCCGCCAACGTAAATATCAATTGGCATCATTTTGTGAGCCAAAGACTCATTGAAAATTAAATTCTCATTTTTTGGATCGAGGTACCTTAAGTAATACCAACTAGAGTCTACAAAAGTATCCATTGTGTCAGTTTCTCTTCTCGCTTCACTGCCACATCTAAAATACTATCAAATTAATTTAATTTTTATACTTCAATATTTCAACAAAATGTCTAATACTGACTTTGGACAACTAGTCTTAATCCAGTCAGCTGCCATTTCTAATGATTTAAACTTTCTATCGCCTGGTACATTCAACATAGGCAACGTGACTGGTAACTGATTTATTGGCACAGTTTGATTTCCACATTTATTACAATGGATAATTGGAATAGGTGTACCCCAATATCTTTGTCTAGATATCAACCAATCTTGTAATTTTGAACTCACGGCGTAACCTCCAATGTTTAACTCTTTTGCTATTTTACAAACATCTTCTTTAGTTAATTTACTATTTTCGTGGCCATCAGATAAACAGTGCTTTTTAGCTAATTCTTTATCAACATCATATACTTGCGGAACAGCTAAACGGACATCTTGGCCATCAGGATATTCAACACAGTCGGTGATCAAAATCGGTAGCTTTTTGCCAGTTATTACATTTTTTATTAAGACATTATTAGATTTCATTACGTAATGTTTATGAACAAACGAATTGGGTTTAATACAAATAAACGTAGATAAAGGAATGTGTTCTGGGTATGGAGTCCAAATGTTAAGTACCGTTCGATATTCGTTATCAGTGTACAGATCAAAATCAAATGCATAACCATTGCATTCTCCAATCCAATGTTTTTGAAGATTAATTATATCACGCCAGCCTTTTAATGAAGGGTCATTTAATCCCTTATACATATCACTAAAAAAAAGGGGAAAAAATTATTTAAAGCTTCATCGCCTAATAACTGTACAGCATTTAAAAAAGTATAATGTTTAATAAAAAGTGAAAAACTACTTAAATTTAATTTAGAGATAATATTGAGATTATTTAAATTACATTTATAATACATGTTATTAGCCAATGTTTATAAAAAAAAGACCATATTCAATTTACATCAATTCTTACTTGGAAAATTTTGTAGTTCTAATGAACCATTGTTTTAAGGTTTTTTTCTCTGCGGCTGCACCAGATCTCCATGAACATCCATTTTCATCTATTTGTTCATTTGCCAACACCGTTTCATCTACCGGATCCCAATTTACTTCAGCCTGTTGAACAGTATTTTCATTAGACTATTTATTTTGGTAATCAAGAATGAATACTGAATAATAGAAAATATTTCGTACTTCTTTAGAATAAAGAAGACCCGATTCAAACATTTTAATAAATAACCATTGAGTCCATTTATAGTACATTGGGTCACATGTACTTATTTCGTGAGACCAATCAAAACTGCATCCTAGTTGTAATAGTTGCTGTTTCATGTGTTCAATATTTGAAACAGTCCATTGATCAGCAGGTACACCATGTAACATGGCTGCATTTTCAGCTGGAAGACCAAATGCATCCCATCCCATTGGCTGAAATACCTACAATAAAATCAATAAAACTATGTATATTGTAACATAGGTCAAGTACATAGTAAAATGAAGTACAGTTATATTTGATATGCTTACATTTTGTCCATTCATACGATGAAACCTAGCTATTGAATCGGAAATAACATAAACACGAACATGGCCCATGTGAAGTCGACCAGATGGGTAAGGAAACATGGAAAGTACATAAAATTTGTCGTCGACATTTTTCGAGTCAAAAGTACCTTTACACAGTTTTTCTTTCCAATGTTTTTCAATTTTGAGTTTTACATCTAAAGTTAGATCTTCATTCTAATAACACTTTGTATTATTATTTAAGTACAAATATTTAAAATAAAATATAAATTTATAATTTTTACCCAAATATCAGTGCTAAGGAACCTATAGTTCGAAGGGGTACATTTTCTAAACACTCTTACAGTCGCACACGTCTTGAGGAATGCCCTCGCAATCATTTGATATATTAAATATTAAATACTCGATTAATATCGACTTGAAAATGTATTAGGTTATATTTTATGTACCTTCTATAGACACTTAATAAAACTAAAAACAATTCACTGATAATTCAGTGTTGCTTTAAATTTAAGTTATTAGATTTAAGTGTATTCTCAAGTTATTTATAAGCATCGTAATTCGTAAATCTTACGCCATCGCAACATTAAGTTTTAACAGTAAAAATTAAAAAACCTTTTTCATTAACATTTCATTATCATTTATCAAATTCAAAAATATTTATAAAATATAAACCTAACCATACATTCTAAACGACTCCAACTACGACCTCAACTCTACGCTAGATGGCGTTATCCGAATTGAATGTCATATCACAACATCTAAACATATTGAATGTAATATAATATACACAGTACAATATAAACTTAATAACAATGTACTTATGTTCAATCATAGATGTATAATAATCTAGCATTCTGTATCAATATATATGTCTATGTTTTAACACTTAACATACGTTTAACGTGTCAAACCCAATATTGTGTAACTCTAACTGTAAAATCACTCTACTAAGTATAATGTTATGTCATACCGCATACGATAAACCAGTAAAATGTGTTCAACATCAACAAATACTTTAGATTATAATATAATATATTGACCAAGAAATTTCTTTATAGGTCTATGATTTTAACATATAATATTTTCATTTCCATATATTGATTATTCCTTACAATATCAAAATACATATTATTTTACTTCAGTATTTTCCACTGTATTCCCGGAAGTTGTCATTATCTTAATATTGTGCGTTATTTTTGGAGAAAGGAGGATAAAACTTATCCCCCCCCCCATTGGGTATTTTAAAATTAAAAAAAATAATAATAATGATTATAGAAAAAAAAACAATGATAATATACACTTACAAACCTTGAGATCTCGAAATTCGAAAGTTAGTACAGAAAAGTTATAAGCCGTTATAAGTTAAAGTTATAAGGGAATAATTTTCAGTACTTTTAATTTTCTTTAGAACTTAAACATTTAAGTTCTCTACTATATAATTAACTATAAAATTTAATTCATTAATAGTTGATATTTTGTATTTTTTGTTTAATTTTGGCAAATAGTAAACACTTAAAAAATAATGTTTCAAACTATATTCCTATCAAGGGAATTAAAGGAATCAAGGAAACTTTATTATTTTTTTTTTTCTTAATGCAGTTTTCGGATAACGGAATAATTTGTTATCGGCCCACCGCTCTTTTATCACTATAAATGTCTACAGTTGCATGAAACTAAATGCTTAATAATTCCTTACAAGCCGCCCATGAGTAAAATGTCCAAACTCGCAGTGCGAAAAACCGCCCTGCCCGTTCTTCTAAGTATGTATATCGCCTATAAATTTAAATAATATTATTTTATTATTGAAATTTAATTTTTCAACACAATATGACATAGGAACTCAAACTAACTTAAACGTTATTTATTTTTTTATAAACTGATTGCGTGTACTTGATTGACGTGTATTTTGCATGTATGTAAGTACATGTCACTAATATTAAATACTTTTAAAATATAATAGGTGGTTACAAATATAAAATAGGTGTAAATATTACTACTATCGGATGTATGCAATTTATGTATTTGTTTGCGATATCATAATTATATATACAAATAATACACATAATCATTATGTACATGCAATTTGATAAGCACTCAAACTTTATTTGTTTTTGTTATCGATGAAAACTCACTTTTTAATACAAACATTGAATTCATAAATCATAACTCACAAGTAAGTAAGCACTACCAATGTCCGTACTTTATTCCACAGTAGTGCGTATTTATGTTATAAAAAAATAGTTAAACTTTTTATTTTTGTGAAGTAACCATCATGTACTCTAAACAACACGCTTTATGGGCTGAATATCGGAAACATCGACCAAGTAAAGTCCGTCATTTAAAAAAAAAAAGATTTCTATTGTTATAGTTATAATTTTTAAAAGGATAAGTGCCTCTTTTGATTGGATATGTCTAGTCGAGTCTGTGTTTGGTACTCATGCACGCGCACTGATTAAAATAACTTTCTGTTTATTCGTTCATTTAACTATTTAATTGCTGATGCGGTTTCTATCAAATTTTTAACTGGTGTAAAATTTAAAAGTTAAAATCATACCGAATACCTATATTATACTTACAGTCAATGTTTTAACAATTACTAATATATTAAGCATAGCAATAATAAAAAATTGTAAACTCAAGTCTCAAATAGTTCAACAGGGACGCTGATATTTTTTAATATTGAATTCATTTTTCATTTCATTCGTTTTGCCGTTCATGTTCTTCGTATCCCCTATCCCCTCCCCCACGACTAATGACCTATTCAATCTTGATTTTCACTGAGTAACAAGACATATGTCCTTCTCTCCAATTAATGACACGCTATTAATTGTCCTGATTTATGTCTCTTATTAATTTTAAAGTCCTTTTACGTTCAACCTGATTCTCTGCTATCTTCCATAATTCTTACTTCACTCATCACCATTGTCATTTTCCCCGATGTATTAGTACTGCCAACATAAATGCTTTTTTTCTTTTATCTAGTTAAGTTTCCGCTAAGTATTATATAGTTTTGAGTTTATAATTTTAAATATGTTAGGTATATAATTGTAATTGTACTTGTCCGGTTATATTAAATAAAATCAACAAATACAATGGGTGTTTTATTGTCGCTCAGAGAAAAGTAAAAAATGGACCGACGATTATTGGTTTAGAACTCACTTACAAGAATACTGCAAAGTGACTACCTTACACGGACTCCACCACACGGCCAACAATGAATTCAGTAAAATTGAACGGTTTGTTTGTAAACAAATAAAGTTTCGTTATGTAATAGTTTCGATGAATCAAAATTCAATGTAGGGTGTTCTGGGCAATGGTCACAGTCTTTTCGTTGGGCGTAGCCGGACTGTTGGCGTACCTTCTACTCTATCGTTTTCAAAGAAGTCCCACTATAACGACTGTAGAGACCTACAGCTATCCAACGTGGAAAATACCGTTTCCTGCGGTAACTTTATGCAACATGAATAGAGTTAGAAAAAGCGTCGTGAACGAAATGTCCGAAAAACTGTAAGTTACTAATAAGAATAAAGTAATATTAGAACTCGCACAACTGTCATCGTCGTTACGTCAGTTCCAGATACCAAATTAACCGGTCTGATACCGAAAACTATTTCCAAAAAATTATCACACTGATTACTAGACACAACGTGGAGTTCTCTGGCAGTGACCAATTCGTAGAGCAAAGCGTGTTGAAAGAGTTCAACAACCCTAATAGCACAATTGAAGACATCATGTACATGGTATTGTAGAATTTAGTGTTTACATGATTTTGGCCATTGATATTACAGCTAATATTACCCGGGGTTGCATGTTAGGTGTCGCAGCCATGCTCAGAGCTGTTGGTTCATTGCGGATGGAATGGTCTAAGAACCGACTGTGCTAAAATGTTTCGACCTTCTAAGTCCCTTGACGGACACTGCTGCTCTTTTAATTACAACATTCATGGAAAAGAGTAAGTAGAATCGAAAGACAGCTAAAATTTAATCGATTATCTTTAAATGAATGAATTATCCCCAAATACTACCCTGTTTGCAAAGGTTGAATTATTCCTTACCAATATTTTTGGATACGTGTATGTGCACAACATTTGGCAGTTTATTTTGATGCCATAGCCAGATGGATAAACAGAGGGGAAAACCACACTAAGAGTGATCAAAAGTATATTTTCTCAAAACGTTTTTTTAATCATATGTGTTTTAGTTAAGCTTACGACTGAAGTTCTGAGTTTTCAATTTAAACTTGTTTGGAAAATAGAAATTACATTCTTTATCGTCGTTTATTATACTAGAAATTAAACTAGAAAACAATTAAGCAACATTTGTGGTTTTATATAGTAAAGAAATAAAATAATGAAATATTTAAAAAAAAACCTTAACCACAAAAAGTAATAAACTAGAGTACTTCGGCTGAAATGTTACCATCATTAGCGCTAACAATAGACATTTATCTGTAAAATGTCTCCAAAAAGAAATACTAGTAATTATTTTAAAAGAAAATAAGTGTCCAACATAAAATAGTTTATCCAGTATATATGTTGTACAGACCTCAAATTTAATATGTTTATCTTTATTTAAATTGTTTTTACTAAAAATGCGTTAGTGGTATAAAAATTAATAAAACCACACAGTTAATATTAAAAATATTTTGAGAAAATATATTTGTGGCCACGTCTTTTAATGTAGTTCTGCCCAGTGCTCACTGTGGAATGTGACTATTTTTTACCCCCGTTGTTTTTAAAACCACCTATTTTTATTTTTTAATAAAATTAATTACGTTAAAGTACTTTTACACGTCTAAGGCTTAGTGTCGTTTTAAAGTAAATCAAGGGTAATCTAATGGAGAGGATGTTGCAGAGCTATTTTGTATGTTAAAACTTAAAAATTAATATATTAAAAATTAATAAAAAATAAAGAGTCAAATTCTTAACTTGGACAAGTTTTTTTTCAAAGTATAATTGCAGAGGTCCGGTCAAAATATTGAAATTTTACTTCATCTTACAGAAAAATAGATTTGTTTTTCTAAACTGTGTATATTTTTTAATTAATTTATATATTAAAAAAACGTTTAAAAATGTTTGTATTGATTTTGAGAGTAAAATGTAAAATTTCCCGGAACTTTACGAATAATTGTTACTACTAATTGTTTATTACTCCGTTTTCCAACAAATCAATTGGATTTCCATGTACTTTCAGCCGATTTATTGATCCAAATCAATTAAATCCTGAATATATCGCTGGCACGGGCAGATCTGACGGTTTATCGGTTGTCTTAAACACTAATTCAGAAGACTATTATTCAGCCACAGCTCCGTACTTCGGAATCAGAGTTAGTTTACTTTTGAGAATAATACTAAATGTATATAATTTTTCACTTCCATTGGCGTGGGTTTAATAATTTATAGATATTACTTCATTCGACGGACGTTTTCCCGGAAACTTCATTGTTGTCTGAAGTCATACAACCAGGAAACGGAATGAAAATTACCATAAATCCTTATTATGTTAAAAGTGAGGATAATGTTAGAAAGCTTAAGCTTTCGCAAAGGCTTTGTTTATTCCCTGACGAGGTAGATGATTTTTAAATTTCGATATCATAATTTTTTCTAATAACTAATTGAAAAAAAAATTAGTAATTTGTTAACGATGAATATTTTCTGTTTCTAGTCAAGACTGTTAACATTAAATGAGTATGATTATCAACAGTGTATCACCGAGTGTCGTATTAATATAATACGACAATTTTGTAACTGTATACCATTCATTTATCCGATTGACCTCAACTCTTCGATCATGTGTAATCTAACACACGCCAAATGTTTGCACCAAAATTCAAGTAAGTATACTTAGTCGATATTACCTTTAATTATAAATAGTGGAACCTCGCACTAACCCTAGCCAAAGATTATGTACATGACTTGGTTAAAAAAAAACTGTTATTATTAATTGGTTGAAGTTTGTATAGGGTTTAAAATATTTACATTGTTTACAGTTACACCTATATTTACAAATTGACCTTGTCAATATTTCCGAAGCCTTCATCTTCCATCTTCAGGACGGTGTTGCGTGCTTGTTACTTGTTGTTTGATCCGCTGCTGCCGCCTGCCAGTAGACTAAAGCGATGTGCCGTAGTTTATAAATGCCGATGCGTATTCTACCCCCCACTATTCTTTTCTTGTTAGTTGTTGTCGCCGTTTTGTTTGTCATTTAACACCGCTGCTGACTTATCCTTTCCCGTCGTTCTCTGTTCAATGGATCTCATAAACCTTTGGTGTTTGTAATTTTGGTGCAGCATTCTTTGAGCTCCAGACAAATTTCATTAGTTTCAATACAGAAGACAATTTATTCTCATCTTATGCTTCTTTGTGTTCCTTGATATGCGACCCGTTACCGTTTTTACGTAAGGTATAACTAATAAGCCTTTGGGACAACTTCTTGGTGTTGACTCTCAGTGAATATCTGCTGTGTTTTATTAGTAATTTATTTATTGCATTGTCTAATGTGGACATGCTTTATTCGTTTGCGTATATTGTTTGATTCAGGTGTTGTTTTTCTTCTTCGATCGCTATACGTACCACTTGCATGGAAAGAGTATGAAAAATTCCAATTTTTTATTTTAGACAATGGTGTGACTAAATGTTTAAATATTTATCTGTATGTGTTGCTTCTTTGTAAACTGCCTTCCAAATGCACATTCATCTTTTGTGCCATCATCTTCTTTATTGTTCACCAATATATTTAAAAATGGCAACTTACAGTTATTCTATATTTCCATAGTAATCTTGATGTTCGGACGTTGTTTAGATGTTGCAAAACCCTGTTGAGCTTTTCTTTTTAATGCTACCAAAATAGTAAACATGAACGTATCATCCATTTCCTTGATTTACTTTCCGATGTCGTTATCACTTCTTGTTCAAACCATTCCATGAAAATAATAATTATTCTATGTAACTCATAAACTATATAAATATTTCTACTATATTCAAGTCTAAGGTTATAAATGTAAATAATATGCTAAGAAAAGTTATTACCAAATGGTAAATTCCTATATTAAAACATAGTAGTTTATTTAATATTATTATATCTAATAATATAGTTAATAATAATAAATATTTGTGTGTTTTCAATTATTATTTATGGAAAATAATTGTTTTATAATAATGCATACTTGTAGTTAAATATGCTTAATTTGTACAGTTGTATTCAGTAATTTGCTACCAGATAACGCCAATGAGAATTCAGAATCCATTTGTTCGAGGTGCCTACCTGAATGTTCAGAAGTGATCTACACTATGACATCTTCTATAGCACGACAGCCGACACACAATTATACGATTAGGTATGATGTGTGCTTTTGATTGTTGTACAAATTGTTTATATCTTACCATCTATATTACTAAGGTATATATAAATCTAATAAGTGTTAAAAAATACTTGTAAAGCCAAGTAAATTATTAAAATAATTTAATAAACTTCTTACAGAATGTTAACTACAAGTTATAGGTATTGCAAGACATAAAATTATTAAAATTTTTCTTTAAATATTACGAATATTAGTTATTACTCAAATTAAATTTATATACAAGTAAAAAAAAGCCAGTCCAGTGGGGTCGAGGCATAATGAGATAGAGCATATAAATTAACATGTATTGTATGGTATAAAGTAAATGTGTATTAAGTATACTTCATAGTACTGACCAGTACTGACAAAATAAAAAGTGTAGTTAGTATAGTTATAGAATATAGACTATATATATACTATATACTATTTGCTGTGAATAGGACTACGAGAATCAAGATTTACAAAAAACACGATAAGTGATACTATTTTTAAATCTTTATATAATGCAGTATTAATAAACAAATATCAAAATATTATTGTAGTACAAAAAAAATTGTTTAAAAACAATACCAAACAAGAAAATTAATGAAATTAAAAAAACTCAAATTATTTGTATTTTTGGAATTTTATAGATTTTTTTTTCAGTGCTAAATTTTTTAGCAAATATTTTAAATTTAAGTAATATAAATCTAACATAGATTTTAATTTTTTTATGTTAGATTCCTGTAAATTTGTTTCAAATTGTTAGAGAAATATTCATTAATTAAAAAAATGTATTTTAATCCCCTTGTCTTTCAGTTTGAGTAAGAATTTTGCATACATGTAGAATTCTGCGATAGTAAAAAGTTTTCCAATTTTTTTTTTCGAAAACTTAATTTTATTAAGTTAAAAATGATAGAGAAGTTAGATTGAGTTGATCAACATACTTTTAAAATTATTAAAATCTTACAGTATTTTTTTATTTTTATAAACCTATTTTATTCTTTAAAGAACTATGTATTGGAAGGTTTACAAAATTATACTTTATTTGAAAATTATGAGAAAAAGCTTAACTTGTATGTATTTAAATGCAATAACATTGTTTTTGGTTCATACAGTAATACCAAAAAAGACTACCTCAACATCTACAAGCTGTACCTAAAAAAAATATTATTCTTCTTTCTTCTCTAGCTTCTATAACCCATTCTGGGCCTTCTTAATCCTGGTGCACATTTTTCGACGTCTGATATAACTATGTCTATCTACCTCTGCTTAGGTCGTCCTCTAGGTCTTTTACCATTGATAGTGCCTGTCATTATTTCTTTTATTATACCATTGAATCTTCACACATGTCCTGCCAATTCCAAACGTTTGCCTCTTATAAATTACTTGATATTGAGCTTTAGAGTTTAGGTACAATTGATAAAATTCTCCATTCTCCATGATAGGACCATAGATACATCACAGTATTTTTCTTTCGAATGTCAACAATTTCTCTTCATCGCCCTTCGTAACCGACCACGTTTCGCATCCATAGGATAGAACTGGTCGTAGGTAGTTTGAGTGAAGGGCTAATTTTGATCTTATAGATAGTAACTTTGACTTAAATCATTTTCCTAGCGCAAAATAACCTTTATTAGCTGCTAAAAATCTAAACTTTATCTCATAATGCATATTATTTGTACTGTTTATATTAGTTCCTAAATATTTATAGTCAATTAAAGATTGGAAAGTGTAATTTAAAGAGAATTAATAAGACTTTTTTTTTTACTATAAAGAATAACGGTTTTTGTGAAAATTCAAATATTTGTGGTCTCACTTCTAATACCTATACATTTTTTAATTTGCGGTTTCCACTGTTCCTTCATACACTTCACTTATTTGTTTTAGCCCTGAAATACCAAACAATTATAGTGTTCTTAGAATTGTTTTTCAAGACATATCATGCATAAAATATAGAAGAGAAGCTATGGTTACGTGGGATACACTAGTTGGTAAGTATATATTATTAAACAAAACGAATGCAATAAATATGAAATTCTAATCTATTAAATACGTTTATATGCTCATATAATGATTACAGCTTCAATAGGAGGAATATTTGGTTTATGCCTTGGCGGTAGCGTTTTGAGTATTGTGGAGTTGATCTACTATTTCACAATCAGGCTGTACAAAAAAATACACGAGACTAACAAGCGACAAAAAAAAATTGCGCCTTTACATTTTTTAAGATAGTACTTTCAAAGTATTACACTTACCTATAACGTTTAGTGTTCTAGTGTCTAAATTTATAATTAGTATCAACTTTTATTTTCTCACAAGTATTGTAATCAACTTGACGATAAAATAAATATATATAAGTAAATAAATAATTGTTTTAACACAAAAGGTTTTTAAAATATCTAGTGCAGATTTGGTACTATTAATATAGTAGTAATACAGTTAAGATTTAAAAATCTTCAAAAATAGTTTTAATGTTTAAGTAGGTTAACTTTTAAAAGTCAAATATATTATTTATTTAACTATTTAAAAGGAATGATTTGATGAAAATATTATGACTGGTTGATAACCAGTTTTAAATAATTACTTCTAAAGTTATAAGTTATAAGTTATAACCATTTACAGGCGCGGATCCAGCTTGCGTTAACGGGAGGGGCAGTTTAATAATGTTTATAAATATATATATATATATATATCTTGGATGCGTTGTAGATACTATTATTATTATTATTTAACTATTTATTTTTTACAAACTGGTTATCAATTTTAATGTTCAATGAACTAGGCAAGATCTAAGTATTTGGTTCATGAAATACATATTATAAAAGTGTTTAAACTGTAATCATAAAATCATATACACGTATAATTGTGGGATTTCATTGTAACTCCTAAGCAAATTATATTTTATTTATTCCAAAATGTATAAATAAGATTTCGCGACTAAATGTATTGTTTATTATATGTATGACTGATAAAATTTAGGTTTACTTATACATAACAATGTGGCAAACATGTGTTTAAAAATAATTAACTGTATACGCTTTTCAATATAAAACATAAACTTATTATTTTCAAGTTAAGTGATTAACGCTTGTCAATTTAATTTACTACCAGTTTTTTATTTTAATTCTTATAACGGGTATAGTGATCTATATTGTACTTAAAAGTTAAAAAGACGATTTTGTTGTAAGAGTTATGAGTAGGTAGCAGCAAGATGCACAGAAAATATTAAAAACTATATTTACTTAGAAAAAATAACAACATCTGCGCAAGATATATTTTGTTATGTACTCTATTTTCTAGCTATCATTTAAATCTATTTAAGTAACTTACTTAAGTTTAGTATTTACTTTGATAATACGATAAGGATTGCGTGACAACTTAACATAATAAGAAATATAATAATAATATTAATTAATATACACAACGTGAAATGGTACTTAGACGTTTAAAAGAATCTTGTTAAACATAATAATATATTTAAACAAATCATTAGTGATTTGCTACAATGACTATTTGTCATTGTAACTCTCGTGTTGACCATTGTTTATACAAATTATGATGTTATCTAAAATACAAAAACTTGAAAACGTTCAATTAATAACAAATATCATTTAAAACTATTCCTTTTTCGTAGAGACGCTGTAACCTTGAAGTCAACTGCAATAAAGTAAGAGTTTGTGGGACAGTGTTATACTGGTATATTTTTATTTCGTAATACAAATTCCATTGACATGCGTGTACTCATTGTGTACGGGTTAAAGTGCATTTTGAGAGCATGTATTATCGATACACAATATACTCGACCAATACATTATTATATTAATAATTGATATTGTACACTCACGTTTATAAATTGCACTAAAAATAAAAAATGGCTTTGATAGTTTTTGTTTATTGTTCACTTGAAACGAAATATACTGCACTTGATTAATTCCGTTCTCATAGTATATTATAATATTTTCACAATTTCAAAATACATTACATTTGTGTTATGATTTCGACGCACCTTTCATACACAATTAGTATTATTACACGTCGAAATGTTACATGTTTATCAGATGCTGTGTCTAGATTTTGGACGGTTGTTACCGTCGTATTTTGTTTTAAGTAAATTTACTCAAATAAACTGTTTTAATATACAAATTGAACATTGTAAAATCAGCATATTATACAACCACGGCAAGAATAAAATAACGTCACGACAATTAATAGTTATAAGTGATAATATGGTCAATCTAACTGCCTGGGCAATAATACTAGCCTATGTATTATAATTTTCTTAAAAATATAAAATGGTTAACAGATGGAGTCTGGGAAAGTGTGTGTGTATAAGCTGGCCTCTCGGACAAACATTAAATAATTATTATAATTATACGGCGATCAGCAGTGACCTTGGAGCTCGTACAAGGCTATCCATTTAAACACAGGTGCTACAGCGAGACGCCGTTAAAAATCAAAATCAGTTAACTAGTCCGTGCGTTTAAGATTAGACGTTAGTAATAATCGAAGTATTAAAAGTATTTACGTAATGATAGGGAAGTTTTCGAAATGGCAAAACGCTAAGACGTCTAAAGAATTGTATAGTATATATATTAAGTAGTTCTTACTATCGAGTGCCTATACGGTGTAAGTACGGTGCAGTACAACGGTCAACAACAATCATAATATGTTTACACCAAAATAGTAATTGCGCGTTAAACGAAACATGCATTTCTCTAGTATACCAAAAACGAGACGTGCGCCTCCAACAAACGGGTACTCCAAGTTTGTTGTGTACCGGCCCCTAATAAGTGTTCTATAAGTGAGTGGATTTAAGGTTTTGTTTTCTTTAATATTAAAAAAAATCAGCGTCTGCGCTTTGATCTACATATAAAACCTCTGTGTGACAACAACATTGTTCGAGAATCACGACTGTACCTACACATTATCTTATCTATATGTACTCCTTGTGATAAACAATACTTGACTCTGTGTACTATTGTGTAAATGCATGGATAGAAAGATATTATTATTTTAACATACTGACGTGCACGCCCGTTCTTTGTCGCGACTCAGTATGAAAACCGTATCGCACATGACGTCTAGGAGGACTCGACGGTCTATAGTTTGTAGATTTCAGAAAAGAACTTTGTCGGCTTGCCATTGTACTACACGATATCAACAGTTGGCGATTGATCATTGGCATTGATCACGGGTATAATATTGTGTGGATCGTATCGAATCACCTTATTAAATTATTTTCGATTGTGTGTCCTGACCCGGCCGTCCAGCTCCACGATGACACTACAGTCGCAGTCAACCACTGGTATCCGTAAGGTGGTACTCTTGCTGCTTGCCGCCGTTTCCACGGTCTCGGCTCTGTATAGGGTCAAGTGTTTTGATCACAATAAGGGCGAGGACGAAACGGGCATTATACTGGATTGTGCAGACATGGCCGGTAAAAGTCATCCATACCCCATCGAATCCTGGATCGGGTACCACGCGTACTTTGACGACGGCATCAAAGCCAACCAGGTCGTACAAATCGACTTAAGCAACAACGATTTCCAACGAATCTTCAAAATGCCACCCATGACGTCGCTGCAAAAGCTTTCGTTCAAGTACAACAACTTAACGTCGATCGAACGCCTGGCGTTCTGTGGTCTGCCGGCACTCGAAGAATTAGATATCAGTTACAACACACTGCCCAGTAAGTCATTAGTCATAACTTCATAGATATTTGCCCCTCCTCTAGAGGCCTTTGACAATTACCAATAACGTAACTAAAGATGGAAAGGGTAACTCAAACCTTCATCGCGTGTTTCTTTTTATAAACAATATTATAAAGGTTTTGGCGTAACTGGGAGGGGGTGGGAGGGCTATAAAAGTTCAAATCCTTCTAAACAACAAACATGTCAACAACCAAACAACCAAGTAACGTTCTTAAAATTACCAAAATTCTGATTTCTAAGTGAGCTTTAAGAGTATTTAAAGGGCTGAACTTTTCCAGTCTGCCTCTAGTTGCGTTAATCTTCAAAGGTATAAAATATTTATAAAAAGTTTAAGTGCGCTTGATAAGTATCACCAAGGAGTCATCTTCAGTATAAACTAGAAACTTCTTATAAGTTATTTTGGAAGGTTACAAGTACAATATAATTTTTCCCTCGTCATTTCTCTAAGAAGTACACACTGAACTTACAATTTATGATAATAATTATTTCATGCATTATATATTCCATTTATTTAATATGTCGTATGCTCAAATCTAATAGAAACTTAGCTTACGAAAATATTATAAATAAATATAAATTATCTTTTAAAAACTTATCAGCTGTACTATGTGTATAAAGTACATATTATTATTATTATTGTTATTATTTACAAATAGTGATAGAATTTTTCTAAACAATATGTTGAGATAACTTTTAAAAAATAATGTATTCTAGATAATAATTTATAATATATAGACATTGTCGGGACATCGTGAATACATTACTTTCTTTTTGGCTATTGCTTACATTGTTTGAGTTTTTTTTTAACGTTGGATATTATCTTACCTATATGATTACTAATTAGCATACACCTAATGAGAATTTTATGTCCAGACTCCGGGGACTTAAAAATTCTATGATCTAAATGCTCATTATTAGATAAATATACTAAAATCCCGAAAGATTTGTTATTTCGTTTTTAGCCTTTTTTCGCCTAATAATGTGAATGACCTTTTATGGATTTTGTTATTGTCGTCTTGACTTATTATTATTGACTCTGCGCAGTGATTAGATTATAAACTAATCAACAAATTTCTTCAGATTTTAACGTCATGTATACCATGCCATTTTGAATTTCTACACACATTTGTTATCAATTATTAATAACAAAGCACACCCTCTCCTATAAAAAACACAATATTGATATTATACATTAATATATAATCTCTATTGTACTATTTAAAGTATTAAATAGTAACTATTACAAACAAATGTTGTGTTATACATTTATTTTATGACAAAAACATTCCATCGTGCTTTTTCGACTACAAAATTGTTGATGTAGAACGTTCAACAGGACAGAAGACGTTTATCGGAAAATCGAAATGATCAGTAAAGTTAAATTATAGTGGTGTAACTTGATTAGCTTCACGGTATCAGACTCAATTAAGGATTGCTAAGTGGGCGAAGAAGCCATACGGGCAAACAACCAATAAGACGCTATCAAACTTAGGTACAGGAAGACAGTCTAGGAAGTATACCACCCTATGTATACGTATTATTAATGTGAATGTGACTATATGAGACTTAAAGTAAAATTTCTCGCCAGCGCAGCAGCCCCTATTGAAATAAGTTTGTTTGAACTACCCAATTACAGTTAAATTATTTCAATAGTTTAGCAATTCCAGCAGCATTATCTAAATATTTCGTGACTTAAGATCCTATACGTGCTACCGCCTATCATATAATTTAATAACTATAAGAATAAATAATGTGAAGTTGCTGTTCCATTGGGTAAAACATGCAATCATTTATTTGTATGTATGATTTATACTTTATAAACTATACTATATAATCCTTCGGTACCTTTAAAAAAACAAAATTATTGTATAGCAAATATTAACGCATTAAAATATTATTACATTTTAATAAATAATAATCAATACAAATCAAATATAATTATCTTGGCGTATTTCTTAGAGACATTTTAAAATTTGCGTTTTTTTATACCTCGGTCATATCTACTCTAACATCCATGTCTAATGGTTAATATTGACAAATTATATCTAAATGAAACGACATCAGTGTTTAGACTTTAGATACATGTATAGTTGGGTAGCCCTTATTTTAATTTTTATTTTGTACCCGTTAACTATTACTATTTCTTTATTATTATTTAAACCGTGAGTATACTAAGTTCCAACTAAATTAAGAACAATAAATTGTTTAAAGTTATTTTTTATTTAAATAAAAAATGTCTATATTTGGTAGGTAGGTGTTAGTTACTAAGCACTCTTCCAGACACCGGTATACACTTGACCGGTTTTAAATTGTTTATTACCTGCGAGGTACATAAATTACGATAATTACACTTGCATATCGGACATATATGCACTTAATATACTGTCCTATGTGTAAATGAAAAACAACAAAAACAATAATATAGTGGTCATATGCGGTTTTGACGTTGTATTACTTTTATTCTGGTAAAACGATAATAATTACATGTCTTCATAATTGCGGTCCTTACTCATTCGAAAATTGTACGGTTTATTATATGAATATATTACGTAAATATGTATAGTTACTAATAAAAAGAAATAGGTTAAGGTTTGAGCATTTTTAATTGTACGCAATGCACTTACTTATACGTAATAGTTAAATACTGTTTCAAATTTAAATGTTTAGGTGACGAACTACGGCCAGCAATAATATGCCATCCAAAAAGTTCTAACGGCCAAGAAATAAAACCGGTGCGGCTTAAAACTTTAAGACTAGGCCATAACAACATTCATACACTGAGACCGGATTTTTTTGAACATTTAACCCAATTAGAAGTACTCGAGTTAAACAACAACCCGTTCAAAGTAATTGACCAAAACACAGAATTTGCAATAAGCAATTTATGCAATCTTCAGGTATGTGTTTATGTATTAGTATTTATATGTTAAACGGGTTTTTTTATAATTCAAAATTTAAATATATATATTAATAAATGTTTAGGTCTTGGATTTAGCCAATACAGGTATCGCTGGTTTTCCGTCAGAATCATTCTCCCATTCGAACGTCAATACACTGTATTTGAACGGAAACAACTTTCAAAGCGTGCCAAATGAAATTAGAGCCATGCCTTTGGCCTATCTGAATTTGAACGCAAATCCAATTAGTAACTTAAACGCCGAGTCGTTCGTCGGTTTCCAAAAACTACAGCAGCTCATCATAAGTGGCATGCCAAAACTGTCACAAATCGACAGTGGAACTTTCGCACCTCTGCCCAGACTCATAACTTTACACATGTCTCACAACCCTAATCTTGTTTATATACACTACGATGCGTTTAGGAATCAATCGATACAACAGTGGTGGTCATTGAGACAAGTATGTATAGGAAACATGTACAAGCAGTAAGCATCCGTGTTTGAAATGTTTCGATTATTGTTCATAGCTTTTCTTGAACAACAACAAACTTGGCAATATAGACTCAAAATTATATCCGTGGGGAAAATTGGACATTTTTGACGCCAAGAGTAATCCGTGGACATGCGACTGCAGACTCTCTTGGATGGCAAATTATGTTAATGAAACATTTAAAGAAATTCCGGAAACGCTCCTTTACTATCGGTAAGCAGTAAATCACGACTTAGAACAATACAAAAACATTCTACTATTTATTTTACTTAAAGAAATTCAATTAAAAAACATGGAAAACACGTTAAAGTTCTAGCTAAACCGGAAAAAGAAAATTAATGAACATCAACGACTTTATTTTTCAAGTTTAATTTCTTTTCGTTTTTCTTTTAGTATTATTTTTAAACTACTTTTCTACGTAATATACTTTTATTTATACATTAGTTTATTTGTAATGCAAATTTTCAAGACTCAAAAACAACATTTAAACTGAATGTTTGGTAATCTATAGCATTTACCAATTATCTCAATTTTCGTGAAAAAAATTACTTACACTACTTTACTTTTAATGGCACATGAATTGTTAGCATTTGTGTATTCATCCGTAAGTTTTATTTAATTCATAATAAAATATTGTGTACGTTCATCCTAATTAATTTATAGTCAACAGTATAATATTGAAAAAGGCGTTACAACATACAAAAGTTATATTAAAAAATGCATTTTTTATGCATTTATTTATTAGCTTTTAAGTACAATAGATTAACTTTATGTTTTCTTATAATGCCAGTATTTTAATTATTTAATAAAAAATTAAGTATTAGCTTTAAAATTATAAGATATTCAAAAATGTTTCTTTATATTAAATAAAAACATAGACTGAGAAAATTATGTTCTTTAATTTTTATAATCGGTTTCAAATAACTATATTTTAAATCGGGGCATTTTTCGATTGTTTGGCTTTTATATGACTGAGTGGCTACATGACTTTTCAAATATCCCACATGTGACAAACAAATACAGAATATTATTTTATTGTAACGCCCCCCTCCCCATGAATTAGTATGTTTCCGTTTTTTATATAATAAAAACATTTTTTTATTCTAAAATATCATAATTTAGTTTTGATTTTCAAAAAAAATTAATTTCGCTTTATGTGATTCAATTTTCAAATTATAATTGCATATCGTAAATTATGGGTCTAATTATTATTATTATTATTATTATTATATTGTAACTTTTTATAGACGATAACTACAGTTAAGTGTTTCTAACAGAGATGTTTTTGTAAGGTGGTAAATGTTTTAATATATTCAAATTTTTCGGATAGGAGCTCAGTGATAATAATTGTAATTTGAGGTTCTTAATTCCTATAAATATTTTTAATTTTTCATTATGGCTATAGTAAAATTGTGTTCACCTCTGGTTACAGATGTCACGAACCTCAGGAACTGGACGGCATATTAGTGTCTCAGTTGAACGAGCATATCGAATGTGACGAATTGTTCCAAGCGCCTGCCGACCACAGTCACGGGCATGTAACGCGACTGAGACATTTTATCATCGTCATAGGTCTGGTGATCGGCATATTCGTGTTTGGCACGTTGATTAATATGGGTTGTCGGAAACTAAAAAAGGTGTTGGAGCCCAGAATTAGTGTACCAGCCAGATTCAGCTCGGGCGTCAAATACCGACCGGCAGACTTTGAGGAAATCTCAGACACTCCCGAAGAACTATCGACCAGAAAAACGTCCACAATGATCCACGGACGTCCGCCTATAGTGATAAATCAATCAGAATAAAATATTGATTGCGTTAATTGTATTATACACTAGAAATTAGTTACCTATATGTAATTTATTGACTTGAAATACGACTGAAAACAATACTAGTACGCAGTAATTATTGTTATAATTTATTTACCACGATATTGTTAATTTTAGGATTATTTTTTTTTAACAATAAATTGTTAACAGTTTTTAACAAAAGCGTTAATGTTAATTTATTATATTTTATTTCTCGTCCATAAGGGCAATAGAAAATAATATTCTATTTTTGTATTGTTCTTAAATTGTACCTATACAAAAATATTACCTTAACACATAATACCTTCACGTGCGATGTACAAATAATCGACGAAGCTATAATGGAAACAAGTTGTATAATATTGCCTGTATACATAACGGCTTAGTCGCGCAGCGTTCTCAATTTACACATTCTAGCTATTGGAAGTCTTTGTAGAATCTTGTCACGCGGGCTCGTTTCAACGAGTACGGTCGCTTTTCTGTGTATTACTAGTGGGCTTTTGACATAATGAGTTTGTCTCGTGATATACACACGACGTCGTAGATGTAATGAGGGCACAACGTCAAGGGGTGTGTTTAAAAAAAAATCATTGTCGACGAGTACCGGAAATCCTTGATGCTGGTTATTGTTGTGTCCTATGTGCCAAAACGCTTTTGTACACATAAAATGGTTGTTAACCTTGTTACCGAACCTGTACTCGTATTGTTCTAAAGAAAAAAAAAGCCAAGGGAAGTGGGGTTTTTAACCATTATGATGAAAGAATTCCGCCATGGGTCATATTACAAACTATAGTAAATACAACAACCGATATTATACATGATATCAATTTTGGATTGTTTTGTCATAAGCGATTCCTCAATTGGTTTTCCTATTATAGTCATACTAGATTGGAGTAATATACGATTTTTAGGTATACTTCATTAATTGTATTCGGTCAGGTTACTTAAAAGTAAAACCAAAATATCAAAAATTCTTCATAGTTAATTTAGTATTTTAAAATGTACGAAACTTAACTTAGGTCAATACAATAAATTAGCAACTGTCTTATCTAATATTAAAATGTAACACATATTCACTATTTTTTTATTTTTTACTTATTAATGAATACATTTTTACGTTAAGCAAACCTTTGGAGTATTATTTAGTTGACCTATTCCCACTATATTATGTAGTGTAGCTATTTTTATGCTAGATAGTAACCACTTGTAATCCTTGACTTCTTTTATCGAAACTTTAATTATGTTTTCATCTATAAAATGGATTGCTACGTCATTTTATCTTGTCACATCACATACCGACAAAACAGCTTGTGGCTTAAAACAAAATTGCGAACTATACCGACCTCTTTTATTTCAGAACTATATGTTATGCTCAAGATGTTATATGAAATTATATTTGTTTAACTAATTATTTAAACCACAATAATTACTAGCGCTTGTTCCTGAAAATAACGACAAATACACAACACGTAGTCATGTCTGCGTTTAATGGGAACGGTGTTATAGACATTTTGTACATCGAATTACCGAAATGGTTAATATTCATGACAGCTAGTCTCCGAGCACAAGACTCTAAATGCGATTCAAAAGATCTGACAGAATAGTTTGGAGTTGCTGTGGGTGTAGGTACCTCGTGCTATATCCTGCACAAATGATGTTAAGGGGAAGTGTAACGGCGCTATGGGTCGAAAAATGTTCGTATAACCTTTAGCCCCTTTAGTATTCTCGGGACTTAGCATTGCTGCGGCGACCGCTCTCATAGACAATGGGCTAAATGAACAGCGTAGACGTGCCGCAAAACATCCGACCCCGTCCCGTACACCAGAGTCAACAGCAACACTACTCTGCAGAGCATTTTATTCCATATATTTATAATATACATCAAACTACCGCTCAAAAAGAAAACTGGGAGAATGATTTGATTTGCCCTTATTCTCTTCCGCGCCGTATCGCCACCACTTCCTCTCTTTACATCTCTATTATGTGTTCATTTATAATATAGGTATACACTTTGCACCAAACTGCCTTTTATTGCAACGTATTACTACAATATTTTAGCGTGACACACCAGAGTGGAAACTGTAACCTGCTCTGCGGATGCGATAACCCGATTAAACGTCACCCTATATATAATAAATAATAATATAGCCATGCGCGCCCACCTCGCGTCTGCTGTACATAAAATGAATCAAAACACGGGCACCCTTTCATTATTATTATTAAAATAGAATTACAACAAGGGAAAAATGTATCCCGACATCCCGTCAAGTCAATATGTTTTTCAGCGGGACTCTTTTGAACTCTCGATGTACATCAACGGCCCCGCGCTGCCTCCAGGAAATCTTTGTTGCCGCCGTTCCCTTCTTTCGATCCGTTTTGTTTTATTAATTCCTCGCGAAACACAGCCTTCCGAGCACGAGTTATATTATCATATATACCTATAATGGTAAAGATATTATGACGTTCAATGATAATGTACTGCTCTATACAGGTGGCCTTACTAACAGGAAATGCTTTGATCGGAAAAGCAATAACACGGTGCTCGTGAATAGGCAATTTTTAATAATAAAATAATTAAATATTAAACGTTACAACGGAAAATATAAAACAAGCTGATCCGATGTCAAAGCTGTATAATGTTTTTTTGTATTATTGATATTAAATTTGGCTTTTAAACGATAGGCAAATATCAACATTTCTGAACAAAAACACAGAAGTTTAAATCGAAAAAAGGAGACAAAATTCAAATTAAACCATTTTAGTTAAGACTTATATTAATGTAGACCGAAAGCCAAATAAAGGTGTTTGGTGGAATAGGGGCCACAAATTTTTACTTTTTATAAAAAATAATGTTAAAATTAGACTATTGTGTTATTAATAATGAGGATTTGGAGGAGGGGGTGAAATGCCCACGGCCGGTGCCACGCCCAGTCCTCGATTTCAAATGTAAAAAAAAAGTTTGTTATAAGGCCCTAATAGTTGCCTCGCATGGCATCTCAAATCCTAACCCAGCTCTCATCCTTAATTCCCGCGTTGTTCCTGTAATTAATGCCACAATATCCTTCATCCTGAGCTCTGGTTATACTATATAGTTTTTATTATTATTTTTTTTTAACTTAACTATGTACATATTACCTATTGTAACGCTTTTCTATTTTTGGTTAAATAATAATTTGTAATTGTCGAGCCATCATATTTCCCAATAAAGGCTAATAAAAAAAAAAAAAAGGCCCTAATGGTCTGGAAAATAATCAAAATATATATATATTTAGAAAGTGATTAATATTTATATTAAATGTTATAAATATTGTAGCCGGCATCAAAAACCGAGTATCTTAAAAAAGAAACGATGGTATTAAAGGTAAGTTAAAGGTTTTTTTTCTGATCCAAAAGAAAAATCTACTAAATGTTTTTTTAAAAATGATTTTGTCACAAAATTAGTTTGTGCAAAAATGTTAAATTTTAACATTTAAATTTAAAGGTTTTTAGTTATATTTTAATTTTAAAATTGAGTTTATTTCAAAAATGAAGTTACAGAACTGAGTTATTTTAAATGGCATAAGACATAATTTATGAAAACTTGTACTCAGATTATAGTTTGAAAAGTCGAAATCCGAAGTACAAAAATGTTAAAAACTTGTACTTATTACCAAAAAAAATTGTTATACTCCCAAAACCTGATAAATAAATTAAATTATTTCAATTCAAAAACTACATTTTCAACAAAAGTTTAAATTAAATTTGACGTCTAAAGCTGCATTTTCATCAGACGAATTTGTTAACATTTACTACATTTGGCCGATGTATACGGGCTTTTTCTTTTCTTATTATTATTATAATTTACTTGTTTGCCTTAACTTTGTTTCTTATTTGTTTGTTTGTTACTTATTTGTCTGCATTAATAATATTTTCGGAATTTTTTAAATAAGACCCGAGTATTCAAGTTGTCCGGACGTTGCGTTAGCAGTAAAAATAATAGTAATTGGCGTGGTGCACGTTGACGGCTAATTAAGCGGCATTAAAACTCTGACATTCTCGTATTACCGGGATTTTTGAATCCCTGACGACTGTGACGGCGGCGATGGTAGGGACACGCGCCGTTTACACAACGACTTTTCCCCGGAGACTCGCAAACGGATTTAATGGGCCGCTATTATTTGTCTGACAACACGGACTTGACTCTAATGTCTACCCGATGAACGACAGACCCTATAAAATGTACACAACCACCGTCACTGCATTTCATGGGACTTCGTCTTAAGGTGGCCACACACTACGGTTTTATTTCTCAGTGAACCGTGTACGAACAAAATTGTCCGTTTTAGAAAAATGTTGTTCGTACACCGTTTAACGCTACATTGTTTTTCTTCGTTGTTCGGTGTTAATAAAAAGGTGACCGTTTTATTAACCAGATTGTAGTGTGTGACACCGAGTCATCCACACACTACGCCAAATGTACACTACGTTACCATTAAAGTTTCAAAGTTGATATAAAAATAATTAGTTTGGGAGGGAGGTAAAACAATTTTTTTTTTTTTAACTCATATCAGATTGTATAAAAACTTTATGTAAAACAAATTTTTATTTTTTGTTAAACCCTATGATATATTGAGTGGTTTACGATAAAATTATCACCCTGTATAAGATAATTGTAATAATTAATCTTAGTTCAGCTTGTTTCTTACGTTATTTTCAGACCAATATTTAGTATGCAATTTCGATAAATTTGTATGACAATATTCAGAATTTGTACGACTTTGGTTTACAAGGAAAAACGAGAAAATCATGGGAGGAGATGGAAAAACGTTATTTATTTAAAATAACTTTATTAAAATCCGTGTAAATAACGTCAACTTGCGATCCTACTTGGAAGGATTCGTATACAAATTAATTAAAAACTAAATTACAAGTGGTGGTAGAGCGACCGGGTCGAAAACCGTGCTGCTCCTCCATAATAATTTTGTTAACTGGTAGTTGAATACCTTTTAAGATCAAAGTTTCAAATATTTTTGTTATGTGTGGTTGGATAGAAATTGGCCGATAGTTTGGAACATTATGTGGACTGCCTGTTTTAGGGATCGGAGTAATATAACTGTATTTCAGCATAGACGAAAACACCTTCATCTAGCGATCGTCTAAAAAGAATCCAAAGAGGATATGATATTATTGATTTTAGTTTAAAT